AAATAACTCCAAAGGGCCCACTAGAGAAGCTTGGTAATCCGTTGAAAGAACACACAGTAATCTTTTCCCCATTCAAAAGTTTTTCACAATTTCCCCTGACATCTTAATAGCTCAAAACTAGATACAACCTAGAAGCCCATTAACACTAGAATGGATAAGTTACAGTATTTTCATATAGTGGAAATCTCTATAGGAATAGAAATTAAAAAACTACAATCATATGCAACAACCTAATGAATTTTGTAAGTATGTAATGTGGGAAATAAGCCATTCACAGGAGAGTACAGTAGTCCCCTCTTATCTGTGGTTTTGCTTTCTGCGGTTTTAGTTAGCTTTGGTCAACCTCAGTCTGAAAATATTAAATGGAAAGTTCCAGAAACAATTCATAAGTTTTACGTGGTGCACCATTCTGAGTGGAGTGATGAAATCTTGCACTGTCCTGTGCCATCCCATCCAGGAGGTGAATCATCCCTTTGTCCAATGTATTCATATTGTGTATGTGCGACCTATCCGTTAATCACTTAGTAGCTGGCTCGGTTATCAGAGAGAAAGAGAGAGAGAGAGAGACCACATTCACAAAATTTTTATTATAGTATATTGTTGTAGTTCTATTTCATTATTATTGTTGTTAATCTCTTACTGTACCTAATTTATATATGAAACTTTATCATAGGTATGTATTATAGGAAAAACCATATACATATGGTTTATTATAGAAAAAAACATTGCATATATACATATTTCCCCATGGCTAAGGGGGTGGGGGAACTACAGTGTATAGCATGTGATTCCATTTAAATAAACTTCAACAAGTAAAACTTCTATAAAGTAGTAGAAGTTCAGGATGATGGTTACAGTTATTCTTGAATTGGGTTTGTGACTGGGAAGGGGCGTGGAGGGACCTTCTGAGTGTCCATAATGTTCTGTTTCTAGATGCCTGTGCTAATAACAGAGGTGTATTAACATTGAAAATTTATTAGGCTGTATATGATTTATATATTATTTCTATGCCTGTTAACTTTCAATAAAGTTTGCTAAAAAGAATCAATTGCAGACCACAATTCTCCATTTGCCCATTGTCTAAAAGGGTAGTTTGGGGTGTAAATATGTATTCTTGTCCTAATTCTGTGTCATTGTAAAGCATTATTATTGTCCTTAATATTTAATTGAATTTTCTGTTTTGAAGTCAGATATGTTTGAAAAGTCATCAGGGTTTCAGAAACAAGTTTGGTTCTGAGGGCTAGATGACCTTCATTTGTTTTTACAATAGAATCCTCTAAAAGCGCTTATAAAGCTCTCCCACAACTTTTATAGCCTCTCTCTGTATGTATCATTGCCTCGGTTGTTATAATTTCCTTTTGCCTTAGATTGAGTTGTGAGATTCTAAACTTGTACTTTCCCCCCATCTTTTTTGGTTTGGTATGTAATTTGCATATTTTCACCATGCGAAAGCTATTTTCTATGGTTGGAAAAGATTTTTTTCCTACAGTGTGAACAAATCATTCTTTGTTCTCCTTATTGTGCCTCCAAACTGGTACGTCCGGTTTATGCTCCAAACAACAAAAGTCTGTCATCAGAAATTAAAATGCCAGTAAGAACAAAGGCAGAGACCCACGAGGAGCTATTGGAGAGGTTTCCTCCTCTCCCCAAGTAACTGCGGTTGTCAGGAAGGTGGAACATGGCTTGGTACACGCCTTCCTTGGAGTTCTACCCTTGTATTTATTGTTATTGTTGGTTTAAAAGTGATTTTACAGCTCCTGGTAATTCTATTCAGGATCTATAAAATCCTCATCTCTGAGATTCTTTGCCATTTTCAATAAACTTTTTTAAGAAACTGAAAAACTACTTTGAAAGCCTTTTAAAAAAGTTAATCAGTTTTGACACTCATTTATTTGAGAGCAGGATTACCAGTGAACATACTGTATAAAATTATTAGAGGCAGTTGAAAACGGCAGCCAAAGCAGAGCCTGGAAGGACGTACCTATTCTCTCTGCGCCCTTTTTAAAACATGCACGTTTTATCTGTATATACACTTTGTTAGCACTGTTCTTAAATAATATTTCAGCGTAGAATTTGCACCTACTAATAATTGGAGAGTTCTCTCTCCTCTGGGGAGTTTGACATCTGTGACTCACTTAGGATGCTTTAGAATTAGGCTTGTAACAATCTTGTTTTTAACATATTCACAAATATCTATAAATAGTGACTATAAATGTTTCTTCCCCTCTTCCTTCCCTTTGTTATAATTAAACAAAGCTTCTAGGACCTTAACTTAGAGGTAACGAAGGATAAGTAATGAATGTGAGGATGCATTTTATAATCAGTCATAATGTTTTTTCCTACTTGTTGCTGTACATGTAAAAGAGGGATTTAGAGTAGAAGCTTAGAATTGAATAGGGCATTTCGGTTTGTTTTGAAAGCCGTTACTCTGAAAAGCATTGTGTTCAGATTTCAAAATGTTTTTCTATATCAAAGTAAGCTCTTGCGTATTAATTCAGTGATAACAAACGTTTATTATATTGTGAGTATGCCAAGGCAGATTTGTTTTATTCTTTATTATGTAGTATAATTTAGCACAGCAGCTCTGTTAAATATGATTAAACTTTAAGGCTTTATTTAATAGAACCAAATGTTAAGTGCTAGACCTGTGGCATATGGAAATAATAGTACCGGGCAGTGGATTTTGTGTTAGACTACTATGATTTGTTATAGGTATAAACCTTATTTGTTATAGTGAGAAGTATTTTTATTACTCTGCATTATAATTTCAATGCAAGTTCTACAGTATTGTTTTATAATTTTTTTTTTACTTCTTTGTTAATAGAAATAGTATGTGTATAGAAGAATATTGCGTATCCATTGCCCCTCAGACAATTTATTTTCAACAAGTATATGACCTGGCAGCTTTGGAGAGGGCCAATAATACATCTGTAGTATAACTGGATTACATTAGTGATATACCTTTCAGTGAAAGTGTGCTTAAAATCCAAGATGGTGATTTTTTAGATTTCTGAGAATGTGTGATTACTGCTTTGGGTGGGAGGTTGAACAAAATGACTTTGTAAGGCTTTTTCTAGATTTTAAATTTTATTCTGTAATAATAAAATATGGACTTAAGAGCTTCGATATATAATGGCAATAGTTTTCAGTTACAAAATTAATGTTCGCAAAGGAATTTGTAGAGAGGAAAATTCTTAGTTAAGTATACTGAGTTTATAGCCTTAGTATGCTTAATTGGTGATAGGTGGTGCTATTGTTGCACAGTTAGTGCGAAGAGGCTAGCATTCCTCATATCTTCTGCATCCCAGTGCTATAGAGGGCTTTGCCATTGCAACCAATAAATAAGTTGTAATCATTTTTATAAGCAAAACGAATATGATGGCTCTGTAGGCATTACCATAATTTAACATTTATAAGAAACAAAAATATAGGTTGCAGCTTTAAATTCTGATAGAAGATGAAGATCTAAAAAAGTAGTTGATCTAAAAGGCAGCTCTACAGATTTATAATTTAATATTGGAAGATTTATAAGCCTTTCATAATGTATACACTGTTGATATTTTAAACTGCTTGTTTGGCAGGCCTATTTCAAAAAAATACCATCAGCATGTTTCCTCTATTGAATGTTTACCATTATTACATCTGTTGTAAGTTCTTGGGTATTTAGAACTAGTTGTATAGCATTTGCCATTTTCCCTACCTGATATTACATATTTCATCAAACACTTGACAATTATGAAAATGTATTGGGAACTTACAGTAGTCTGGAAAGCTTTCTTAACTATTTCTAATTTAAATGAGTTCAGTGCTTCAATTAGCGGCAAACTTTTCTCTTGAGCCACTAATTGTGAAAAACAATCGTTTTCACACTTGACACATATATATTAGCATTCCCTCTCACCTTTGGCTTGGTAGACTACTGTGCTCTTTATACCTGAGGAATAAATCTGATATGATTTAAAAAGAACAGACATTCATACGGTGTTTGATCTATGTGTATGATAAAAATGATGACATTTAAAGATGCTTACATATTACTTTTTTGTTCACAGAATATTGAAATTATAGAAGTATCTTTGAGGTCGTTTGGCACCTTTCCCATCTCAGTTTCTGAATGCAAAAGAACAGGCTTAGGGGAGGTGGGAGAAATGGGGAGATGTTGGTCAAAGAGTACAAAGTTGTGTCATGTAGTACGAATACGTCTAGAGATCTAATGTTCAGGCATGATGACTATAGTTAATAATACTGTATTGAATACTGGGAAAATGCTAAGAGAGTAGATTTCAGGTGTTCTCATCACACAGAAAGGGTAACTCTCAGGGGATGGCTGCAGTAATCATTTCACTATGTATATGTATATCAAACCACCCCATCGTACACCTTAAATATATACAATTTTTATTAAAAATATATTTGAAAAAGAAAAAACAATATAGGTTTATAGAGTTCAAATAATTTACTCAAGGTGGTTAACAGCTAGCTATTATAGAACCATAACCAATACCTAGCTCATTCACATTTCATTTCAGTGTTCTTTACGATATGTTTTGCTTTTTCTCATTTACAACATATTTGTGAAAGTTCCTACAACATTTTCAAAATACTAAGAATATTTATCTTTTTTCTTACATGGAAAACTGAATACTAATGAAAATCATAGTTGCTTTGCTCTAAAATGGAAGGCAGTCATGCAGGAACTGAACAGACAGTAATTTATTAAAGATAAAATAATAGCCTTCTAGAACAGACCATTTATTTTTCTATTTATATCAAGTATATGCTGTTATAATTTTCTACAAGTATTTATGATAATTTAAGATGTATTTAATGTGTATGATCAACCATAAATGTGTATGAGTGAATGCGTGTATGTGTGTGTGTATACGTATATTACATTGGAGACAATAAATTATGATAACATTTAGGAGACCTTGTTTTTGTACAATAATATTCTGACTTGTGTTTTCATTTAACGAACCTTTTTCTGTCTTCTCATGCAGATCAGTGGGGAAGCACAGGAGCTCTTTTCTGTCCGAAATGGCCCAGTTCGAGCTGCTCGAATCTTGCCTGCGCCACAGTTTGGTGAGTGTAGCCCCGAAGAAGAAACAAATCATTCAGAAAGTTTCTCTTTTATTGGTCTTGGACTACAGACAGCAAGAATGATAACTAAAGTCTGTTTTCCTCCAAGTGTCCATTCCCCTCCTCTCCTCCCCCTAAGATAAACTCTTAGTTCTGTCAGTTGAGATGGAAATAGGTAATCTTAACCATTTCAATATGGCCATTCACTTTCTGCTGTGGTTTTGATTTATCTTCATCCTCTTTGATCTTGATTTAGCCTCTGACTTGGCTGGCTCTTTCTTGAAGCCCTCTTCTCTCTTGGTTTTCATGGCATCGCTGTTCCCAGATCCCTTCCTTGCTGACTGTGCCGCTTTTGTTATGTTTCTGGTTTAGCTTTCTTCTGTGGGTATTCCCCACATCTCTGTTGTTCTTGTGTCTTTGCGCTTCTTCTCAGTTATAATTACTACCTTGGAAAGCTTGGTTTTCACCATTATCTTGATTGTAGATGAGTCTGCTGTCTGCCTTTCCAGCTATGTCAGAAGTACAGTTTCTGGCTTTTGACCTTGGATTGCTGCTTTAATAATGAATACTTCTTAATGTTGTATTTAAATATCATGTGTTTTATTTTTATTAAAAAAAATCAAATACATGTTTAAAATTAAACCTGCTTATTTGGATGCCTAAATAACTCCTGACTCTTTAATGACCTCAGCTTTCTGAAGGTTGTATTTTCTCATTTACTTGTCCATGTTCACTCACTGTTTTTGCAAGTGCACTAAAAAACAATTCACAGTAACATTATTTGCATACTTAAAAATCTTTTTAAAAAGAGGATATTAAAATATTTTAATTCTGTTATGTTTTTACAGTTTATCCAGAAGTTGGGAAATTTTCCTTATAATACTGCTTGTAGCAGTTAATTCTCTAGATTGGTGAGAGTGATGTTTATTAAAACTTACTACCCATGTGCATTTTGCACTTACCATGTGCATAAATAATGTTAGAGATTAATGTAGTGATTAAATCTGTTTATTTGGAATGGGAAGGGTGGTGATAGTAAGCAACAATATCTTGAAGTCATGTGGAGATTTTTCTCCTTGTTATTAAACTATATGACATATACATATCTTAGCTTTGTCTGTCTCTTGTTTGCACTTTCTCTTGCTCTATTTTCTGTTGCATTTTTGCTTTGTTGAAATCTTTTGACAAAGAAGGTAGAACATTCTTTTCTGGAAGGTTTTTAGAATAGCTAGCTTTCTCTTTGCATGGTTGGAATCAAGGAGAATTCTAAAGGACCCTACTACATCTTTGTTTCTTTTGTGTGTAATTCACAGAGATTTTTCTCCTTTCATGTCGTTTATGAAGCTCTTTGGTTTATGCAAGTTATTAATGTTCAACTTTTCTCAACTTTTACTTTGGGCAGAAATACTTCATGAGAGAGTATAAAGCTATACAATTAATGTTGCTAGTAGAATTTGAGTATGTCTAATTTGTCTAATTAAAAAAAAAGGCTCCTCCACTACTGTAATATACTTACTTTTGAAAATATTAGATTCAAAATAAAATGTCACATAGCTCAATGTTCTGTTATGACTTGCAAAAATTATGTGTCTCTTATTGTATTGGATTAATTTTTTACATTTGTTTTTATCAAAGTTATATATGCAACTGATCACATAAAATTTGTAATGGAAAAAAAAGTAAGCCATTCTTCTCTTTTCCCAATTTTGCTCTGTGTGCTCATTTTGATGGAATACGTCCTTAAGAAGCTTCCTGAAAAAGGATGTGTGGTAGATCTTGTTTGTCTGGCAGTGTCTTTATTCTTCTTTAATTCTTGATTGATAATTTGGTTGGGTAACAAATGCTTATTTGTAGATAATGTTACTTCAGAATTTTGAAGGCATTGGTTTAGTAATATGTTTGAAGAGTCTGAAGCCATTTTGATACCTTTCTCTTTGTATATGGCTTGTTTTTCTCTCTGGAAGCTAGTAGAATGTTGGCTTTGTTCCCAGTGTTCTCAAACTTTGCACTTTTGTTTCTTGGTTCACACATTGTCCTGGGCCCCTTCATTATGGAAATGTGTACATAATTTTTAGAAAATTTCTAAAACTAGTTTTTTTTTGGAAAAGATTTTATTGGGGAATTGGGGGAGGAGAACAGCGTTGGGGAATCGGGGAAGGGGAACAGACAAGTTGCTGTCCTTTTGTTCTTCAGTCTAGTTGTGGAGGACGTTGCTTCACTGGCCCATGTTGGTATTATCATTGCGCTCTTCTCGGGTGAAGCAGATCAGTCGCTGGCCTCGGGACGGCCACTCATGACGGCTCTTGGCAGCTCACACTGGCTGCCAGCTGTTCACGCTGGCTGCCAGCCACACATAGTAGCTTATGGCAGCCCACTGCAGCAGGGGCTGCAGCCTATGCCGTCGCCTCACGGCAGCCCAGCTCCAGGTCAAGCTGTTTTTCACCATCTTAGCTGTAGAGGGCAGTGTCACTGGCCCCCATATGGGATCCGAACCAGGTCCCTGCTGCTCAGAGCTGGCGTCCCAAGTCAGCTCTTAACCAATGCGCCACTCGGCCAGCCCTAAAACTAGTTTTTGATGATTTTTTTCTCATAAGTATTTTTTTTTAATTCTCTCTTTCTGGTACTTGTATTATTTGGCTGCTACACCCCCTAGAATGATTAATTAAAAAAATAATTTATTATCTGTTCTTTTGGGAGACTGTCTTAATGTGGATTATTATCTCTAATGTTGAGTCATTCTTTTCTGCTGTCATGTTTTTCTTTTTTTCTTGTCATGTTTTTCTTATCCTCACCTTCTGAAGCCCAACACCTCCTTCCCTCCTTCCCCCTACTCCTCCCTCCTGTCCTTTCTCCCCTCCCCGCCTCTCCCCCCTCTTTCTGTCGTTTACATATAAGTATTGCCAACTAGAATCCAGTGATATATAAAAAGAATTATACATCAGGACCAAGTAAAGAATATTCCAGGACTACGAGGTTGATTAACATTTGAAAAACAATCAGTGCAAGTTGCCATATCAATAGAATGAAGAAGAACACCCATATGTTCATCTCACTAGAAGTGGAAAAAACCTTTGACAAAATTTATTAGCCATTTATGATGAACAAAAACTTGTAGCAAATTAGGAATAGGAAGAAATATCATTAGTATGATAAAGATTATAAAAAAGTCTACAGTCAACATCACAACAAATAGTGATATTTTAAATACTTTCCTGATGAGTTTGGGATGGCCTGTATCACAACTTCTATTTACCATTGAATGTAAGTCCTAGCAATTACAGTAAGGCAAGAAAAATAAATAAATGGTGTAAATATTAGAAAGAAAGATGTATAAAATTGTCTATTCATAGAGGACTTGCTTGTATATATTGAAAATACAAAGAAATCCACAAACTGTTAGAATTATTAATAAGTGAAGTTAACAGAATTGCTGCATACCAGGTTTCTTGAGTGTTTGGTGAAGATCTCCTCACTGTGTATTTTTCTAGCATCATTTTCAGCCACCCTTAATCTTTGGTGTTTTGTGAAGATCCCCTTTGTATTTTTCCAGGATCATTTTCTGCCACCCTTAACCATTGTCCCTTTTCCCCCCTTCCCCCGCTTCCATGCCTCCACAACTCTCCTTTGTGATAGTTGTACTGAACTACTTTCATTTCTTCTAATGATCCATCTTCTTTTTTTGCAGCCATTTTCATTGGCTTATTTTGTTTTCTAGAATACTCATATCCTTCCAACACTTCTCATTCCTTATCCAATGTCAGAAGTATGTGTTCCCATAGGACTTATTATTTTTTTAAATTTTAGTTGCTCATTTGGTTTTTACTTGCTAGACTTGTAGGCTGTTTTTGTATCTTTAGTGCCTCACAGAGTACTTGATACAAGGTGTTAATAACTTTGTTGAATGTTACTGTGTGGTATAATGTTTTGAAAATTATGAGCTAGAAGAAAAGCAGGTTCCTTTTTTGTAGATGTTTCTGTGGAAATTCTGTCCCCTAAAACTGAAAAACCAAAGGATTTGTATACGCTCTTAATCCCACAGCAGGTCATCATTGGTATTTACTCATCAGCATAGTTTGTGCTTCCTTACTTCTTCATGGTCACTGTCAATAATTGATTATGTTCTTAGTGAACTTAAACCTGCTTCAGAATACAATGTTTCAGAAAGCTATGACCAATCAATTGATATTCTTTTTTCAGGTAAAAATTGTTACTATCTTTCAAATCTTTCTAGAACTTAATTATACCTAAAGTAAATTCTTACTTTGTACTGTCAGTAGCCATTGTGGTTTTTAGTATGTCAAAGATCACCTGGGAAATAAAAATATATCAATATGTATGTTTTAATATGCAAGTTAAAAATTTTATATGATTATAGAATTTGTGCTAATAATGGTTATTTCCCAGGAGTGGCATAGAGGAAATTTTCACTTTGATATGTTTTTAATTTTTTAAAGATCATGTAATTCTAACCAGTTAAAATATTCATTATAAAAACTCAAGAACTACTGAAATGTAGAAAGTGAAAATTCACATGATCCTTTGTTATTAGAGATAAACCCATGTTACCTTTTTACCTTCTTTTCTTCCTTCCCCCACATACTGAGTGTGTATTAACAGCTTAGGTAGGGTATACAGTTCCAGATTTTTTTCCCTTAACCTTTGACACTTGCATGAGATTCAATTGTAGTAGTATGTCCGGGCCAGATTCAGATTCTTTACATGTATTACATGTATTAAGTTGTGTGTGTACAAGTGCTCACATGTATTTTTTTTCATAACTTTATATTGTGAATATGTTTTAATTTCAAAACTTATAAATTTCTTTCAACATGGCCAAAAATTATGTATCATTCCATTGTATGAACATTTATATTAATTTAAAGTTTTTCCCTATGACAGGTTATGTTGTTATACGTTTTCATATATGTACATTAAAATATACAAGAATTATTTTTTAGGATAACTTAGAATTCTTAGAAATTCCTTGGTCAAAGAATATGTAC